TTTTGAGAATACTCCCTTAGAACAAAACCAGTGGAATCAAATGCACAGGAAGGAAAGGTCAATGACTAAGTGCACTTATAATCCCTTAGTCATAAAATCTTCATCAAGTCTGGGACTAGGATTGGATCCATCCACATCCCCTCTAGAAGGAGTTTAGAAAGCAGGGGAGTCCTTTCTGCACCTCATGACTCAATTGGAGGGACTTCCTTTTACAGCTCTGCCCCTTTCTTGCCCCCAGTCTCCACATCAATCTTTCCAAATTAATTACAATTTCATGTTCCTGTCCCTGATTCATCCATGGAGTAAAGCTGCAGAAGGGAGCATTGCTGTTGGATGGTGCCACACTTTGGCAAATCTGTGTTAAAGCTGCTTCTGCTGACACCTCTGGCAGAGAGTGTTTCATTGACCTAAAGCCCTCAGTTCATTACAGGGTCCCAGATTGTCCCCACTGAGCAGTGGCTTTTCACTTTGCATTGGCACTGCAGGACATGTAGCTTAACAAAACAGGAGAATAGAAGTGTTTTCAGGCCAATAGTAAGATTGTGTTAGTGGAGTTAATTCCACAGAAAGGGACAGAATCTGCAGCTCTGCCGCCTGGTATCAGCTGAGGAAAGTTTTGTAGAGATACTGCGCTCCACATTAAAATACCCTCTGGTAAAAGAAACACATTTGCATGTGGAATTATCTCGACATCTGGAAAAACTATATTTTCCTGAAAGGGATCCCATGATACCGAAAAAATAGAGAATGATTATAAGCCAAACTCTATGGCACAGTACATTTTGACAGTGCTATCCTATTGTCCTACAGATTAATTTGTGTTCATGTTTGATTGTGCTCATAGAGCCTTTGCAAATCGCCAGGAGTTGAGCCACTGTTCCTAGAGACATTCAAAAGCCACCTGGTCATGGTCTTTGCCAAACAGCTCCAGACAGTCCTGCTAGAGCAGGGGACACCCAGTCACCTGCAGAGGTCCCTTCCAACCTCAATCCTTCTGGTGTTTCTGTGACATCTTTCTCATACTGACGGAAATTATAAGAAGTTCAAAATTTCTTCATATACCTTCAGTCAAGGGTTTTGTTCACCTTTGCCAAGGGGGAAAGGAAATTAAGTTTCTTTTCAAAGGACTGTTTCAGCACTCCAAGCCTGATTAGCCTCACATCTCAGCAGACTTGAAGCAGCACAGAAAATACACAAAAGATAATGACCATTAATGAACATCAGCTCCAAACGTCAGCCCTGGTCTGGGAAAAGATCAATGACAGAACCAAGAATGAGAACCAAAATAACACTGAAGGTGAAGGGATCAATAAAAACCAAATACTACAAACTGTGGAACTCGGGATCAATGATCACTGAAGCAATGAATTTCCCTGGGTTTTAACTGTAGAAGTAAAAAAAAACTCCAGTGAAAACCTTGTGTGATGGAAGCATTTTCTCTGCACAACCCATGCAATGTGTGGATTAAATTATCTCTCTTGCCCATCTTGGCCAGAATAAAGTAATGCCTTGATCCTCTAATAAAAAAAAAAAAAAAAGTGGGAGAGTTTTTGTTTTTCTCACAGTTTCAGTGACAAGATCACCCAAAACATGAACTTCAATAAAACTTTTGAAGTAATTTGAGGAAAATTTTCACCTCTAGCACATTCATTTTTCCTATCCCTTAGTGAGACTCACACATGGAGTGTGGTATCTGACATTGGTCCTGCTGAGCAACACAAAAAGGTGACAGCTTTCTCCAGTGGCAGAGAACATTAAAAGCATCCTGAACGAATAAACCTCTCTCCAAGAGGTTACATGGGAAAACATCATGAAGAACTCCGTGACAATGGGCAATCCTAAACAGCTTTTTGTACCACTGAATCCATTGCTGTCTTACACAGCGTTAACAGTTCAATGTAATAATCACATTACTGCTTCTCTTGGATATAATCTATCCTCTCTGTTTTGTGTCCCAAAATACTAAAAAGTTCTTGGCAAAGTTAGATCTATTGATGTGAACTGAACTGCTTTCTGTGGTCTCTCCTGCTACCTTCTGGCCAAAGTGTTTATTGTTCTCACAACAATTTCAAATTAATGAGATCCAGCAAAGAGCCCAAACAGGGAATGAAAAACAAAAAAGCAAACAAACCACTGGAGCTCCCATGGGAACATACACAGGGTTAGGTCCCACAGCCACAGGAACAGCCCCAGCAGCATTGGCACCAGTGGCTCCATACCTGATACCACTAATGCTGAGATCAGAGTGGTCTCCAGCCCATTTGGGCTGTTCTTATCTCAACCCTTAATGCCCCACACTGGAGGCCAAATGAGGCAGTTGTGGTTTAGGAATTGTATTTCCCAATTTAGTGTTCCCACTGAGCCACTCCAAAGCAAGTCTGAGACTCTTCCACAGGATCACCGGAAGCAGAAATACAGAGAGGGCTTAACAGAATAACAGGGACCACCCAGAGTGAGGGACACACAGGAGAGCACCAAGAGCTTCAAGTTCTGCTCCTGGTGCCCCACCTCTCCCCCTCACTGTTGTCATAGGCAGAGGGAGGGACCAGCAGGGACTGGGCCTGAGAGCAGTGACACAGGCCCAGGCAGGGCAGGAGTGGGCAGAGCTGCTGTGCAGGCTCAGAGAAGCTGGAGAGAGGCCACGCAGAGCGGGCCTGGCCATGTGGAGTGCCCTGTGCCTGGGCTTCTTGCCCATTGTAGGTGAGTGAAGGCAAGGGCTGTTGGCCCAGGAGCTGAGCGTGGCCCTGGGCTCTGCAGGGCTCTGGGGAGCTGTGCTGAGCGCTTGCAGCCGGAGCTGTGCCTTGGCTGGAGCTGCCCAGCCATGCCTGTGGGGCACGGGGAGAGCAGCCCTGCTCCTCTTGTGCCTCTGAGCTCGGCACCTCCATGCCAGCTGCCTCCTCTGCAGCCTGGGCACACGCAGGGCACCTCCCTGCTGCACTCACATCTCGGGGCCCAGCGCTTTGCCTGGCACTGGACACTGCTCCTGGGGCACTGCGGCCCCTCTGGCACAGCCCAGCTGGGGCATGGCAGCACAGGGCACAACCCCACTGCCTGGGACAGCCCTTTGTCTTTGCTGTGCTCACTCAGAGAAGGTTCACAGACAGGACAGTGGGTTCCTCAGCATGTTGTCTTGGCAAGGACAAAGGGATTTGTCCCCCCCATGGTGCAAATCCTTCCTGCTTCTTTGGGGAAATTCAGGAAAAGCTTCCTGTCTGGCTGGGTGGAGGGAAATGTGGTGTCTCCTTCCTTGTGAGCCTTGCTAGCTGCCACCAACTCTGCCATCTGTGTCAGCTGTCTTCAAAGAGGAGGATTTTTTCCTCCCACAGGTCTAGTGCCAATCCAAAGCCCCACTAGCATTGCCCTGACCTTTGCTGGATCTTGCAGTGATTGTGCCTTGTTCTTGCTCTCGGCAGCAGTTTCTCTCGCTGGTGCAGCCACCTTGGAGCAGAACCCCAGGGAAGTTTCCGTGCAAGAGGGAAAAGCAGTCACCTTGCAGTGCCGCATGAAGGGGGATTCTATGAGGTACTACACCATATCGTGGTACCGTCAGGGCCCAACTGGCGCTCAGGAATGGATTTACAAGGAGGATGGCACCTATGGCGAAAGTTTCAAAGATCGCTTTAAGATAAAAGATGAGAAGTTCATGAACAGATTCCCACTGCAGATCCTGGCAGCAAAGCCAGAAGATGCAGCAACCTACTACTGTCGTGCAAGAATCACCCTGGAGCAGTTCTACAGCAGTGTGAGCCAAAAACCAGCAGATGGGGAAGA